CTCCCCTTTGTCTACATTAGCAATGTTTTCTCAGGCTCTTTTAGATCTGAGAATCTTTCCTGAGTCTACTATTCTATTCCTTTTAGCCACTTCACTCCAACGTAGGCTCTATCTCCCCAAGCTCAGGAAATTTAGGGAAACGACCTGTTGCATGACCAGACCACCTCAGCTCAGACAGCTACCAGCAGAGGTGGCTTATTTCGCAAATGAGGGCAGTAAAAGAGGGGAGCCGTAGGGGCAGATGAATAGCAGGAACTGAGTGTGCTACCAGACCTGCTGGATGATGGCTGCCTCTGAAAAGCTTAACACCTGGCAACTGAATCAGAAGCCTGATTCTGAGCTGGGCTGTTTGCCCAAACACAGGTGGTAAAAATCAGAGTTCAGGAAGTCACATGTCAGTGCCACTTAGGGAAACTACCTTAGTAAAGAGGTATGCCCACCAGAGTCCACCTGCAAACAATGGAAAAATAATTTGGTACTCTCTTAGCCTGACAGCCTTTTTTTCCCACATGGAAAGCAGGTGCAAACTTCTATACTCAGCAAACCAAATACAACACTGCTGTCTACAAAAAAGCCACGCCATATCTGACTTTCCTCCAAATGTAATTAAGCCATCTCCATAATAAGTCCTATAACCACTACTACTGTTCCAAATTTATATTCCCTATATTCAAACCCTCAAACCAAAATGAATATTGTACTTAGTTCCTTCTCTACTTAATTAAAATGATTATGATTCCTCCTTCAGCTCTTCAAGATCATTCAATAAGAATGGTTTTCCAACTGTATTTGAAGAAGCCCAGATAATAATGTGGCTTAGTGAGAAGCGACAGGGATGAGGTAGACTACACCTCTCCTATAGCTGGTTTTATCTGCCTCCAAATTCATTTGAGAGAGAACAGAGTGAGAGAGAGAGAGCACGAGACGGGGGAGTGGGAGAGGGAGAAGCAGACTCCCCAACGAGTGGGGAGCCTGAGGCGGGGCTCCATCCCAGGACCCTGGGATCCTAACCTGAGCCGAAGGCAGACGCTTAACGACTGAGCCACCCAGGTGCCCCTCTAATGCCACGTTTGAAGAAAAGATCCTAATGTTAAAACCACTGAGGCAACAGACTAGACTATCGTATACAATGACTGACGTAACTACCAAGGCACTACTCTGTTACGTGAGAAACAGGGACTAGCCAAACCCTCCCTGACCAGGGGTAGTAGGAGATGAGGATAGTATAGTAAACAAATGTAATTTATTGAAACCCCAATTTTAGCCAGTGGTTTCAACCGTCCATCTCTGTTTTTTACCCCAACAACTAGTAAAACAGAATTGAACTTCTGGTGAAATGTACAGGTAGTAACAGGCAAGCCAAAGTGAAAAGCCAAAGATCTGATTATGTGAATCTAGACAGCTGGCTCCTATGCCTTCAGTTGTTAATCATGACACACTAAATAAAGAGCAGACCAGAACCTGTCAGATGTGGATATAAATGGACATGAAATCAGCCCCCTACCCCACACCCCCACATCCCCCCTGGTAGGTAGAATGCCATATTAACCACATTTCCCAAGAGACAATAATAATAGCTAACCACAAAGCCACTTCAGTTAATTCCTACTACAAGACTCTGATTCAGAATTTAAGTCATTCTCTTTTCAGCGTAACTGAAAGGGGAGAGCAGCCGGTGGGATGCAGGGCTGTGCAACTCACCCGTGCAGAACTCCTTGCTCACACCGTGGGGCACTGTGATCCGCCGATAGACAATGGGCTCCGACTCCAGGATGTTCTCATCGTGGCGGTACCGAGTTGGCCTTTCATTTGGGACGCCCCGGGAACGGGTACCGCTTCTCCGCTCATAGGTATCAATCTCCTCAAACACAGCTGCCTTGTCAAAGAGGGCCAGGTTCCCTTCAAAATCAAAATCTGTGTCTGGGATCTCTTCGATATCATCCCCGAAGCACTCGTCATCTTTATTCTTCATTTGGCCATTCTTTAAGCCACTTTTCTTTGGAGTTGCCTGATTTGGGTGTCTGCTACTAGATGACCCTAGAGAAAAAACAGGGACTAAGGTCAGTGTGCCCACAGAAAGCACTCAGTGGAAATGGAAAATACATTAGTCTTTTATGGAGAGTGTTACAGGAATCAAAGTGAAGATGGTAAAGGTAAGCTATTTCTAAATCATATTAAGTAGCACAAACTACCACAAATCTCAAATAATAGATTTCATATATTACCCAAGTAACAGGGAATATAAAATAAGTACGACTCCTGGAAATCTTAACCAGTTCTATCCTTCATAAGGAAATTAGTTGGGGCACCTGGGTGGCTCAGTCGTTACGTGTCTGCCTTCGGCTCAGGTCATGATTCTGGAGTCCTGGGATGGAGCCCCACATCGGGCTCCCTGCTCAGCAGGAAGCCTGCTTCTCTCTCTCCCATTCCCCCTGCTTGTGTTCCCTCTCTCGCTGTCTCTGTCAAATAAATATTTTTTTTTAAAAGGGAAATTAGTAGTGACAGAGGCTTTTTTGACAACTGAATATCAAAAAAAGTAGAAGGGGAAGAGTACAGCAGTCTCTTCCCACAGGTCTGGGTGGTTTGATCTCAAATGTCTAGCAACAGTTAACAGAGAAATACCAGCCCCCCCCCCAAGTAAAATAAGTCCAACTCCTTGTAACCTGAAGCTCACAGGAACAGAATATTCAACTGGCTCCTAATTCTACGCTTACCAAGCAAGCAACCTTCTGATTTTTAATTTGATCTCAGCCTAGACCCCAGCAGGAGAGAATCTCTGCTTTAGAGAGATTCCAGATCTTGAGCCAGGCATACATCTATCACTACAAGTTGGTATTTTGATTTATAAACCTGTTTTTAGATCTCTTAATTAATGTGATCTCTTTTCTCAACACTTGTCAGTAAGCAATTTCTGAACCATCAAATATGACAAGGACCATACTGACCTGATTCTACAGTGACCACACCAAGATGCACAGCAACACCAACAGCAGGCACCCTCTATCTGGCCATTACACACCACTTAACTACTCTTCTGGCAGCCAAGACAGAACACCCCACAGAACTCTCCCAACCATCCATTCCCAGATAACCCTGAATTGAGTTTATACTCTGAGCCAATCTGACCACCCTGAAAGGGTGGACCAGGTTATTGGTATGCCAAATGGAACCTCCAATATGGTTTAAATAAATGTAATGTACTTCCTTTTGAAAGACTGAGCTCTCAATTATTAAAAATACTCAAGTAGAGGGGTGCCTGGGTGGCTCAGTCATTAAGCGTCTGCCTTCAGCTCAGGTCATGGTCCCGGGGTCCTGGATCGAGCCCCGCATCGGGCTCCCTGCTCCACGGGAAGCCTGCTTCTCCCTCTCCCACTCCCCCTGCTTGTGTTCCCTCTCTCGCTGTATCTCTGTCAAATAAAAAGAAAAAAAATCTTAAAAAAAAAAATACTCAAGTAGAGGTTAGAATGATCACAGGCAAACCCCTTCACACACGTATCATCCCAACTATACTACTCTAACTTCTCACAGTAACTCCCTTCTACCCTATAGATCAGCCAGGAGACCTAGGATCCAGCTGCAGTTCTCATTAACATATTATCTTATACCTGTCATCCAACTTTTCAATTTCCACGTATGTAAAATGTTCACTGTTGTATCCCCTGCACAGTTCCTAGCACATAGCAGGCAGTCAAGAAATATTTAACGAATTAATCAACACTGACAAAAACAATTACAATAATTATTCTGAAAGATGTGTACTGGCGCCTGGGTGGCTCAGTCAGTTAAGTGTCTGCCTTCAGCTCAGGTCATTGTCCCAGGGTCCTGGGATCGAGCCCCGCATTGGGCTCCCTGCTCAGCGGGAAGTCTGCTTCTCCCTCTCCCAATCCCCCTGCTTGTGTTCCCTCTCTCTGTCAAATAAATAAAATCTTTAAAAAAAAAGAGAAGAAAAAAGAAAGATGTGTACTGTGTCAACAGAACTCGTGTCCAAATCTTCCTAATGTCAAATACTGGTATGGAAAAGGGCTGAGCTGGAAAATGAGATCTAGGCCTCTGAAAAAAACTAAGGCTGGCCAAAATTATAAAGGAGAGGAAGATCTAGCTGAGCCACCATAAACAGCTTGAATTATGAAACAATGACAAGCCTGTCAAAATCTGGGTTAAGTTCTAGGTCCAATAATCTGACAAAAACATTTAGTGAAAGCATGCTGTGTACCACAGCTAGGTGCTAGGAATAAACTATATAACCAAGACATACTACTCACAAAGGAAGGAGGAGAGCTATAAAAAGCAAGTAACTAAAATACAATGTGGTAAGAGTTAGAGTAGAAGTTTATATAAAGTATCATAGAAATGTGGATGAGATAGGAATGGGAGAGCAGGCATGAGAACACAGGTCAGGTTAACACCATCGGCAACAGAGCAGGGAGGGGAAGAACCAGAAAAAAAAGTCCAGTGTGCAGGACGAATGTTCTGCCTCAATATTAAATCAAGGCATACTATTAGAAAACAGGTCTCGGGACGCCTGGGTGGCTCAATCAGCTCAGGTCATGATCCCAGCGTCCCGGGATCGAGCCCCACATCGGGCTCCCTGCTCAGCAGAAAGCCTGCTTCTTTCTCCCTCTCCTTCTCCCCCTGCTTGTGTTCCCTCTCTCGCTGTCTCTCTCTCTGTCAAATAAATAAATAAAATCTTAAAAAAAAAAAAAAAGACACTGAATCTTCTCTTTACTTTTGAACTAAAAAGAATAGAAAATTAAGATTTATGAGTTTAATGTACGGATAGGAACTGGCACCCTCATGAGGTTTCATGCCAGCCAATCACTGCCAGTATTTGAGGTATCAGAGGAAAGAGTGCTGTTCCATAACAAGAAGTGTGTCTGTGCAAGTGGACTTAACATCAATTTTTTTTATCATGGTAAAATATACATAACAAAAAACTTACCATCTTAACCATTTTTAAGTATACAGTCCAGTGGCATTAAGTACATTCACACTGTTGTACAACTGTATCAATTTTTAGCTACTAAAGCATACTGAAATGAGTAGGTAGCTTAAAAAGATTCCTATACCTTTGCGTTCTCTCTCCCTCTCCCAACATGGCGGCCTCAGCAAAAAAGAAGAATAAGAAGGGGAAAACTATCTCCCTAACAGACTTCCTGGCTGAGGACGGAGGGACTGGGGGAGGAAGCACCTATGTCCCCAAACCAGTCAGCTGGGCTGATGAAACAGATGACCTGGAAGGAGATGTCTCAACCACTTGGCACAGTAATGATAACGACGTGTACAGGGCACCTCCAATTGACCGTTCTATCCTGCCCACTGCTCCACGGGCTGCTCGGGAACCCAATATCAACCGGAGCCGTCTTCCGAAATCGCCGCCCTATACTGCTTTTCTAGGGAACCTGCCCTGTGATGTGACAGAAGAATCCATTAAGGAATTCTTCAGAGGATTAAATATCAGTGCAGTGCGTTTACCATGTGAACCCAGCAATCCAGAGAGGTTGAAAGGTTTTGGTTATGCTGAGTTTGAGGACCTGGATTCTTTGCTCAGTGCCCTGAGCCTCAGCGAAGAGTCTCTAGGTAACAGGAGAATTCGAGTGGACGTTGCTGATCAAGCACAGGATAAAGACAGGGATGATCGTTCTTTTGGCCGAGACAGAAATCGGGATTCTGACAAAACAGATACAGACTGGAGGGCCTGTCCTGCCACAGACAGCTTCGATGACTACCCGCCGAGGAGAGGTGATGATAGCTTTGGAGACAAGTATCGAAATCGTTACGATTCCGACCGATACCGGGACGGGTACCGTGATGGGCCACGCCAAGATACGGATCGGTACGGGGGCCAGGATCTCTATGATGACCGAGGCGGCAGGGACTACGACAGAGGCTACGACTCCAGGATAGGCAGTGGCAGAAGAGCGTTTGGTAGCGGGTACCGTAGGGACGATGACTACGGAGGAGGTGGGGACCGCTACAAAGACGGCTACGACAGACGAGACGAGCGGCCCTGGAGCTCCAGGGACGACTACTCCCAGGACGACTACAGGCACGAGGAGAGAGGTCCCCCCAAAAGACCCAAACTGAATCTAAAGCCTCGGAGGACTCCTAAGGAAGATGATTCCTCTGCTAGCACCTCCCAGTCCAGTCGAGCGGTCTCTATCTTTGGAGGGGCAAAGCCTGTTGACACAGCTGCTAGAGAGCGAGAAGTAGAAGAGCAGCTGCAGAAGGAGCAGGAGAAGCTGCAGCGCCAGCTGGATGAGCCAAAACTAGAACGACGGCCCCGGGAGAGACACCCCAGCTGGCGAAGTGAAGAGACTAGGAATGGGAACGGTCCAGGACAGGAAGTGAGTCATCACAGACTGGGACCTCGGCCACATCTGGCAGAAATGCACGAAGGAGAGAGAGTGAAAAGTCTCTAGAAAACGAAGCACCCAATAAGGAGGAAGACTGTCACTCTCTAACTTCTAAGCCTCCCAAATCTGAGCAGCCTCTGAAGGTAATGCCAGCCCCTCCACCAAAGGAGAATGCTTGGGTGAAGCGAAGTTCTAACCCTCCTGCTCGATCTCAGAGCTCAGACACAGAGCAGCAGTCCCCTACAAGTGGTGGGGGGAAAGTAGTTCCAGCTCAGCCACCTGAGGAAGGACCAGCAAGGAGAGCAGATGAAAACGAAGTAGATGGGGTGAGTGTCCCAAAAGGCCAAAGTGGGAACTCCAGCCGTGGTCCAGGAGATGGAGGGAACAAAGACCACTGGAAGGAGTCCAATAGGAAAGATGGCAAAAAGGATCAAGACTCCCGATCTGCACCTGAGCCAAAGAAACCTGAAGAAAATCCAGCTTCCAAGTTCAGTTCTGCAAGCAAGTATGCTGCTCTCTCTGTTGATGGTGAAGATGAGAACGAGGGAGATTACACCGAATAGACCTCTGCACCCTGTGCTTTTTCCTAGTCTCTCCACCCTGGAACATTCGAGAGCCAATCAAACCTCTCTCCAGACAAGACAATAAAACTCACCATCTCCTGGGGGGGGGGGGGAAGATTCCTATAAACTATGTATTAAAATAATAATAATGCAATCATAATGAACAAAAGCATGGCAGAGCTAACACTTCCCCTATTCCTCTTATAGGCCTTCTCATTTTTTAAATACTTTATTTATTTGACAGAGAGAGAGAGATAACAAGAGCAGGAACACAAGCAGGGGCAGTGGCAAAGGGAGAAGCAGGCTTCCCGCCAAGCTGGGAGCCCGACGTGGGGCTCGATCCCAGGACCCTGGGACTGTGACCTGAGCCGAAGGCACACACTTAACGACTGAGCCACCCAGGTGCCCCTCTTAAGGCCTTCTTTAGCTAGAATGAAGTTCTTAAAAAATTAACCAGGTCTAAGAAGATGGTCTCCCAAATTAAAAAGTATCAAGGTTATTCCAAACATGAATCCAAATGGACTATCACTGACTAACTTTACACTAAGTGTATATTCTGCATCAGGAGTCTGCAAACTATTTGGACTCTGCCAAATCCAGCCGCACTGCCTGTTTCTGTAGGTAAGTTTTACTAGAAAAGCCACACTCATTTGTTTACATATTGTCTAAGGCTACCTCTGTGCTACAAAAGCAACAAAAAATACTTAAGACAGAGACCTTATGACCTGCAAAGTCTAAAGTATTTAACATCTGAGCTTTTTTTTTTTTTTAAAGATTTTATTTATTTATTTGAGAGAGAGAGCAGAAGCAGGGGGAGCGGCAGGCAGGGGAGATGGAGAAGCAGGCTCCCCACCCAGCGGAGAGCCTGATGTGGGGCTCCATCCCAGGACCCTGGGATCATGACCTGAGCCAAAGGCAGACGCTTAACGACTGAGCCACCCAGGCGCCCCTAACATCTGACTTTTTACAGAAGTTTGCTCACCCTGCTCTCCATCATGCCTCCCAGAGGTATTCTTTTTGGTTATTTTTTTTTTTTCAACTAATGACTTTTCAGCCACGAAAAATTTTTTCCAGGACCAGTTCTCTGAACCTCTCTTTCAATAATAATAATTAGTAATAATAATTATAAGTGTGTCACTTATTAAACTACTGTCTTTTTTTAAGATTTTATTTATTTGAGAGACAGCACATGAGCACAAGCTGGGGGAGGAGGAGGCGAGGGACAAGCAGACTCTCTGCTCAGTGCAGAGCCCAACACAGGAGCTCAACGTCGGGTGCTCAACCCTGAGCTCATGACCTGAGCTGAAATCAAGAGTTGGACGCCTAACCGACTGAGCCACCCAAGTGCTCCTACACTACTGTCTTTCAACTCTACACTCAATCTTCGCAATCCCAGGCTGGAACTCTACAAACTACATATTTCCTTCCTTAGCTGGCTTCCTGTTAGGTTCCACTACCAGTAGTAGATACCTGAAGAGGATAGAAGGAGAAAGGAAGGAGGAATGAGAAGGGACTCTCTCCTTGTTTGCTTGCTATTTGCATCAGCACTGCCCTGGCAATTGGTTCCAGTCTCCAGTTTCTCTTCCTGGCACATGTAGACAGGACAAGCTTCACTGCAACTCCCTAGAAGTACTGGCACTGGCTCTGGTACTTCTCTGGGAAGTCCGTTCTCTGAACGTCCAGGTTCTGATAATGGCAACCTCTTCCCTGCTTCCCCTCCCTCAATGTCTCTTTTTGCTTTTTTGGGCTTCTGACACCTACTTAACCAATTCTATTAGGGGTGCCTGGGTGGCTCAGTCGGTTAAGCGTCTGCCTTCGGGTCAGGTCATGATCCCAGGGTCCTGGGATCAAGCCCTGCATCGGGCTCCCTGCTCAGAGGGAAGCCTGCTTATCCCTCTCCCACTCCCCCTGCTTGTGTTCCCTCTCTCACTGTTGTCTCTGTCAAATAAATAAAATCTTAAAAAAAAAAAAATTTCGTCTGCAATAACTAGCATATTACTATTTTCTTTCGTGGTATACCAAGATTTTAAAAATTAATGACTCGCAGCTAATTACTCTTCTAACCAAATGTTAATTTTTAATGAGCAAAAAAATTCTGAACCATTAATATTACTTTAAAAATCATTGTTTATTTAATCCTTTTTAATTTGTAAAGGTAAAGAACTTTCTGAATTACAGACATACAGAGAAATAGCACTTACAGCTCTAATTCTAAAATCTCAGACATGGGCCAAGAGTAAATAAACACAGACCAGTCTAGATGTTAAAGAGCTCATCTTCTCCCAGTGTGGATGGAAGTCTTAATTGACTTGAGCTCAAAATAGACAAATAGAAAAGACTTAAAAAGACTAACCAGATTCTCTGTTGTCTCTCACCCAACAGAGAGTAGGTATCTAGAAACATTAATCCCCTAACAGAGATCAAGTGATTAAATCATAAAGCCAAACCCCTCATCACTGCTGGTACCAATGGCGGAAACAGCTTAGCTATAAACAAACCAAAACAAAGAAAAACACAAAATTAGTAGAAGGGAAAATACTAAAGAAACACAAAGTCAAGCCAAGGTCTATTGCGGCTCTGGATTCACCCCTGGGAATCAAGAAAAGATGCACCCAGGCTTCATCTGCTCAGAGGTACAGGCAGCACTGATTTTTGTTTTTACAGCTGTACTGAAGTATAATTGGTATACAAAAACCTGCACATACTTAATGTATACAATTTATAAGTTTGGACATATTCAAACACTTGTTATACCATGACCACAATCAAGGTAATAAACCTATCCCTCACCTCCCCATCACCAAAATGTCAATGACTCAGTTATTCACTGTTCTAACTAAATATTAATTTTTTTTTTAAGATTTTATTTATTTATTTGACAGAGAGAGACACAGCAAGAGAGGGAACACAGCAGGGGGAGTGGGAGAGGGAGAAGCAGGCTTCCCGCGGGGCAGGGAGCCCGATGTGGGGCTCGATCCCAGGACCCTGGGATCATGACCTGAGCCGAAGGCAGACGCTTAACGACTGAGCCACTCAGGCGCCCCTAAATATTAATTTTTTAATAAGCAAAATATTTTGAACCATTGAGCCAAATTTAAACGAATATTACTGTAAAGGTTTACTTTATCTAGTCCTTTTTGTCTTTTCATGTCTTGTATCTGATATATATATGGTACGTATGTATGGTAGAAGTCAATAAATTGGTGAGCCAAGTAAGAGTTGCATAGAAATGCTTAGTTTTAAAAGAGGAAGTACAAGAAACCTAATGAAATAACATCAATATTCTGAGTCAAATACTTCATGCTTATTTTAAGGCACTATTTAGGCCAAAGCATAATTTCTTTGAAGCTGAATACAGTTTATGTGAAAGACACAAATGGGGGTGGTCTCCATGAGTGTCTTCATTTCAGCCAACTACACCTATAATCACACCACAGCTTACTGAATCCAAAACACATTTCACTCAGGAGAGAATTCTGATCAGCATTTTTCTATATTCATTCAAAAATGTTCATTAATCTGCTATCCGCTGGTATCTCTGCTAAGTGCTGGAGAGTCAATGGTGAACAATAATAACAAAACCCCAGTCCTCACCTGTTACTTGCACCCCCTTTACTATCACTCCCAATCACTTCTGCAGACCCAACAGTCAAATTGCCTGCATCTTTCCACCATGTACTTTCAATAGGCCCTTACCACAGATAAGCAATTTTAGAGTTTCTTGCACTGTAAGCAGACTCTGTTGCTGCCTATCCAACATCCAGACCTCTCTACCCTCAGAATAAAACACATTTTTGTTCAGATAGATACTATACCCTCTCTAAGGTGAAGGAATGGATTAATTTCTGAATCAATCAAGGTGGTGCTCATGCCAACAACTGATTCAAGCATGGGCATGAGAAGAATACTGGTCAAGAAGACAGGATTGGGGGGGCAGCAGAGGGTAGCTCTTGCCACAGTTTCTTAAGATTTTATTTATTTGGGGGCGCCTGGGTGGCTCAGTCGTTAAGCGTCTGCCTTCGGCTCAGATCATGATCCCAGGGTCCTGGGATCGAGCCCCACGTCAGGCTCCCTGCTCCACAGGAAGCCTGCTTCTCCCTCTCCCACTCCCCCTGCTTGTGTTCCCTCTCTCGCTGTGTCTCTCTATCAAATAAATAAAATCTTTTAAAAAAAAAAGATTTTATTTATTTATTATGTCAGAGAGAGAGCACAAGCAGGGGGAAAACAGGAGGCAGAGGGAGAAGCAGACTCCCGCTGAGCAGGGAGCCTGGCGGGGGGCTCGGTCCCAGGACCCTGGGATCATGACCTGAGCTGAAGGCAAACACTTAACCAACTGAGCCAGCCAGGCATCCCAGCAGTTTCTGATAAAGGTTTCCTCACTCCTAAAGAACTTCTGATTCTCAATCAGGGGCAATATTACCCCAATGGGACATTTGACAATGTCTGGAGACGTTTTTGGTTATTACAACTGGTGGTGGTTGGAGAGTGCTCTTGGCATCTAGAAGGTAGAGTCCAGGGATGCTGCTAAACTTTCTACAATGCACAGGACAGTCTCCCACAACAACAACAAATTATTTGGCCCAAAATATCAAGAGTACTGAGGTTAAGAAACCCTGCTTAAGATGATACACTGGAAGAGACAGTGTCTTCTCTCCTTCTGAAGAATCTGGATGGGACACACAGAAAGGCTGGACCCAACTAGTTTCAATCTGAGGACAAAGCCAACACACAAAGGAGAGCTTCACAGAAACAAGACTGAAGGCCTGATTGTACTATCCCTGGAAATGTCCCAACTCTGGACTCCACCTGTGACATAATTTCTCTCTGTTATTTGAGCCATGAGGTAGGGTTTCTATTACTCAGAGCACCCTGATATAATCCACTTGTACATGAACATTTACCATGCGCTTTTTCACAAAGATGACTTCACTGTTGTAATACTTTAAAGTATTGTAAGGTATTAGAAAAGCGAGAAAATACTTAACATGGTTATTTTTCATTTCAGTAAATAATCATTTACTAGCCAAGAGCAAAGGAAGACACTAAGGACTCACTCCACTTGTCATCTTGCAGAACCTATGTACCTGGTACCATCTTAGGCTT